CTACTGCACATCCTTGAAGCAGCTCCTTGGCAATGAAAGGACATATAAACAATTGTCCAGTAGTCATTGTCTTGAAGATGGAGGTTCCCCTCTTATGGGCAAAGCCATATTTGTGCAATGTGTAAGACTATATGGATGACCAAATCAAGACCGTAAAACAGTTTTTCTGACTGATGGGGAATATGTTTTCTTACCCTTTTTTCCTCCAAATAAGTGTCTGCAGTTCATAGTGTAAAGCTTCATTGTTGATTTCCCCTAATTTACTTGAGGACCTGTGTATCAGCCATTAATTTCAGTTGCTCAGCAGTTCTCAATCTTCTGGGTACGTCATTTTGCGCTGAAACTTGATCACTCAAAAACCTATACACCTCCTGTTTGTGTGTTAACTGCAAGCAAATAAACAAAACGGCCTTCATTATCTGCAGTCTGGAAATAGCACCAACAACTTGATTTCTTGCTTCTACAGCTGCCTCCAAAAAAGCTGCTTAATAAGTAACTGCACCCCGGAACTGTTCACGACCTGCTTTCAATTAGTGACTGGTTGTCACTAAAAGTCTGCTAATTCTCTATGTGTAAGCCACATCCGGGTACTATAACACGGGTATTAGCTAGCCGCGTTTTCATCAAAGCGTGGTCTACGAAACTTGAAAGAAAGACCTCATAAAGTAAAAACCTGCAGAGAGATTTCTCAATGGAAGACTAACACCGATCGCAGCCGAAATTACCAACAACACGGTATTTCATTTTCATTCCGATGGAAGGATCCATGATCGTGCTTGTATCATGTATCAAAGAAACTCCATGGAACCTTCATCGTTTGTCGCGACCAATGCAGTCAAAAGCGCGATTCTACCTAGAAGCGGAAAATGGGTAAAATCGTAAAGCATAGAATCAAAGCGTAAAAACGTAAGTTTTTTACGCATACTTTAATATAACGAAAAATGTGTTAAGTACGATAAAATATGAGTGGACATAGTTTAGATAAGTTAATAAATACTTGTAATTCATGTCTAAAGTTGAGAAACTCATAACATTTTAACAATAAGTTCATAAACATATATCTTAACAATAAGCTACATTCCCCTCTATGCTAGTGAATTTGGGAAGGGCATAGCTGGTGAATTAGATTACTCTATTGAAACTAAGAATGCACCCAAGTACTTGATATGTATCTTTTAATCTCAAATATATCATATTTTTGTGATTTACCTTTAAAATATAAGTATTTTCATGAATAGAATACTCTTTTAGTGAACTAGAAGCGTAAAAGCGTAAAGCGTTTTAGTGAACCAGAAGCGTAAAAGCGTAAGCTTTTAAGCTTTAAAGCGCATTTTAGTCCCGATTTTATACACTTAAGATTTTATATGGAAACGAAAGCGTTTTGGTATCCTAGAAGCGTAAAACCGTAAGTTTTTAAGTTTTCAAGCGCAATTTTGACTGCATTGGTCGCGATATGATTATGCATGCACCATGCAGGCTGCTCTTTCGACATCAACAGTGAAATAAGAAAGAAGACAACGGTGCTGCATCAAACGAGTGAATGAACAGGAAGGAACTCATACTTTGTTTGGGACGTACACTGTATTTATTAGGAATGATTAAGGGGATACTCGTTATATACTAATTTATGTCTAGTAGTCATTTGTTCTATTTAATTGTTATGTGGAACGGTGGAAGTTCGTTATAATGCGGTTTCGAAGCGGATGTGTGACACAAGAGGGTAACATAAAGTGTTGGGCCACGTAGTTGAGCGGAATTGGGCTTTAAGTCCCAGAGGAGGAAACTAGCAGGCTCGGCCCAATAGAATGGCAGGCCCAACAAGAAGGTTGGGGAGACACGGGGTCCCTTTTAGGGTTAGACAGATTAGGAGGTCAGATCCCAAGGAAAAAGGTAGCTAGGCCGCCTAACATAAAGTACTGATGGTGACAGGAAGGAAGGATCCGCCAGGATACGTACCTCAATTTGGGTAAGACTAAGTATTAATTACCCATCGTAGGCGGTCTACTAGGAGATAAGACATGTTTAGGGCGCCTGACATGGCATTTAATGTTTCGCTCACCACCTAACTGGGTATAAATACCCCATGAGAACATTGATGGTAAATCCAACTACTTCCTCTCTCTCTCTCTCTCTAAATTACACATAATCTCTCACTTCTCTCGCTAACTTAAGCTTCGAATAGTGTCCCCGGCGATCGCCCGAGGACCCTTGTTTCGCAAGGTTCAGGAGTGCTTTCCAACATCAAGAACAGACAACTCACTCGTGCTACTCAAACCGTCTAGCATCTTCTAGGCACAAACGGAAAGGATATAATGTTTGGGCCATTTGTAGTGTTTTACCAGTTAGGGGTTTTAGGTTTCGCAATCAGCACTACAAAATGGAATTGTTGGCATGCGTCCACGTTAATTGGTTTGGTCGGTGCGAAGAATTTTACTTTCTCTCTTTGAGACAAATTTATAATGAATTGGATTTGGAACGCAAATTTCTCGCTAAATCGATAGCACAAACGTCTATATATAAATGGTAGGAAGGTAGAGAAAACCACGAGCCAAATTTCGTTATTATTGTTCTTTTGTGCGGCAATATTTGGCCATTGCCAATGGACACATATGTCTATGGTAACTTGTGCTCGTCACATCACATTGTGGCCTCGTGGGCAGGCAGGTAACCATTGAAACCATGGAGAGGGCCAAAGGACAGATAAAGGCAAGCCAAATTAGGTTAGAGTTTCCAAACAACTCGAATAGTTAATACATAATGCTCGACATGTGAATGTAATTATCACATAAAGAAAAATATTGATATTGAAAAGTGGGAAATATCTTAGTTCATCTAGTGTGCACTACGCACACATTGAGGCCATTATTCCCTATTGGTCAAAATCTTACTATTCGATCCAAACCTCTCATATTCATTGATGGAGAATTTGTTGTGTCAATTAGGGCTGCAAATGAGCCGAGCTGCTCGCGAGCGGCTCGGCGTTCGACTCGAGAAATGCTCGTTCGAAACTCGGCTCGTTAATAAACGAGCCGAACACGAGCTCACCTTTGTTCAGCTCGTGAAGCTCGCAAGCTAGCTCGACTCGGTGGCTTGTTGAGCTAAACTCGTGAGCTGGCTCGTTTAAAGCTCATGATATGTCTTAACATGTGGCTACAGAGCCAACTCGATTACCAACTTATGGACGAATCAATCTATATCTTATGATTTTAATTCATATGGTTGTTAATTTATATATATCACCATACATAAAGTTTTGCACATTGAGTATGTGAGCAAATATATCTTATTTTCTACTTTAAAAATAAATTATGCATCATAGATTGCTTCGATACAATGAAATAACATGATTTGGAGTAGTTAAAATTTATTAACTAGACGATATATGATACCAACAAAGTATAAAGTATAAGATGAGATTAACTAACAAAATAAATCATATGTATCATGATATACAAAATGAGATACCGAAAAAAGTTAAGATTTTAATAAACAAGCTAGCTCGAGCTCGATTCGACTCGGCTCGTTAATAAATGAGCTGAGCTCGAGCTCGACTCGTTTATTAACGAGCCGAGCTCAAGCTGGGGTAAAACTCGACTCGACTCGGCTCATTTGCAGCCCTAGTGTCAATATCGTGCTTTCAAAAATGCCCATGTTATTTTTAAGAGAAGAGACGACTCTTGAAGAAATGAAAGCAACCTTTGTGAGTGACCTAAGTAAAGTAAGATGCTCTGTCATCTGAACTCTCTATTTCCATACCATTCATTCAATCCAAACGGTTAAAGGTATTGGCGGAGCTACTAATTTTACGTAGGAGTGTCCTCTTTGAAAAATTAAATTAGTAATTAGATAATTAAATAATTTTTAAATAAGAAAATATCTAACTAATACAAATTACAACAAAAGTCTACAATGTGTTATCATACTATCAAAAAGTTGTAAAATACACTTTGTGTCTACACGGCTCAACAAATATCTCTATCTTACTATACAATCATTCACGAACTGATCGCTTATTCAATTCCGAAACTTGTTCTTGAAGTATCCCAAAACTGAACATGTTATTTCAACACTTGCAGTTGCAATCGGTAAAATCAATAACTTTGAGAAACAAGTAAATCAGTGGATATGATAGAATGGAGGGAATAAGGGTAGCCCGTAATTAGGTCCAATTGTTAGATTTTGAAAATAATTAAGGAAAGGAATAGCATGTTTACTATCGAGATTAAAAAATCGCGATATTTTTTAAATCACCTAGTCTATTAGAAATCATGTTTACTAATAATCTTAGTATCCTTATTTAAATCACCTAGTCTACCACTTATATTTTTTTTACCCATACGAAAACTACTATCGAGATTAAAAAATCGCTATTCCCAAAATTTAGCCAATGCCCCCTGGCTCCGTCCGTGGTTAGAGGTGTTCATAGTTCATAGGTGAGAACTGAGGACAATCTCACAGCCGTTTGGAGTCGTTAGACCATTCCACTTGCAAAATCAACGTAATAGTACTATAAACCGATTAGACAACATGGAAAAAAACAAATAAAATAGGTGGAAATTGACAGGTGGCATTGGTCGTAAATTCGACGAAGAGAAGAGGGCAATACCTAAATAAGTAACCGAAGCAGAAACACAATCTCCTCTCAATCCGTCAATTTCCGATTCCCTCTTCCTTCCCAATTCCCATCCATTTCTGGAGAGAAGAAAAATAGAAAAAGAAAAGACTAAAGAGAGAACGAACAGTGAAGGCTGGCAAAGGCGCAATCTCTCTCAAGCTTTTCTTTCCCTAATCACAAATCAACGAACCCATCTCCATCCCCACGCCCGTATAAACCCCGCAGGCCCCTCTTCCATTTGGCCCCATTCTTCCATGAATTTCCATTGCCCATCTCTCGAATCTTTCTCTTATCGCTAGCTTTTTCATCCCCCTTCAATCGCCATAGCCAGAAAGAAAGAAAGGCCGCAGAACCCGTCGTTTGCTTTCTTCCAACCCTCCCTTTTATGTTCCTCAATTCGACTCTCTCACTGGAAAGCTGCTATCTTCTCACGATTTCGGTTCGGACCCATCGCCAGATTTCCCAATCTCGCATCGGGAAAGCGTCTCTCCTTCTCTTTCCGCTGGTTATCGCCTCCGCCGCCGGAGACGGCAGCAATTGCAGTGACCCGAGAGGCCCGGGAGAGCGGAACCCAGAAAGCGGCGGAAGCGGCAGCGGAAGCATTATGAAGGTCCATCCTATGCCCAATAGGAGGAACAACATAACAATCCGGTACTATGTAAATCACGGTGGCGGTGGAAACAATCAGAGAGGAGGAGACCTAGCCGCCGTCGGCGGCGGTAACAAGAAGCTGAGGAGGCTGCCCCACATTTTCAATCGGGTTCTGGAGCTGCCGTTCCGGTCGGATGCTGAAGTGGTGGTGGAGGAAAGCCCCGATTGCTTCCGATTCGTGGCGGAGGCGGACGATGTCGGTGAAGTTAGGGCTCACACCATCGAAATCCATCCCGGGGTAACCAAAATCGTGATTCGGCCCAATGGGCACATGGAATTGCCGTCACTGGACGATTTGGAGTTGGACATGTGGAGGTTCAGGCTGCCGGAATCAACCCGACCCGATCTAGCCAGCGCGGTTTTCACCGACGGGGAGCTGATCGTTACGGTGCCCAAAGGGGAGGAAGTGGATGAAGAAGGTGATAATAATGGCAGCAGGGGCTATAGAGGTATGGGAAACAATAATAACAATGCTAGGCTTGTGCTTGTACAGTGAATGGAATGGAATGGCTTTTATAAAAAAAAAAGGTTCCCTCTTTGCTCTTGCTCTTTCCTTGTTTTCTTCTTTTTCGGTTTAATGCTTCCATTTGAAATCGCTGTTGTTAACAGATCCCAAGTTTTAGCACTTGGAGGTGTTCTTCTGTGGTTGGGAGACTAGACTTTGTAATGCTTAGCTTTTTTTACCGTATTGAATGAACCAAGTAAAAGGTTTCATTCACCTTCTGTTCTTGAAATGTGGTTGATTGAGCAAATGACATAAGATGAGGAATGGTGTTTGCCCGTTTCGAGATGGTTCTCTTGTTGTTCGGAGTCATGAAGAGTCTCATGCTTATCTTCGTTGGTAGACATAAGACATGGTTAGGTTGCATTCAATTGTTTAACTGGGAATCTTGAGATCATGTCATGTTTGCTTGCTTTGTTACTGGAAATGCTTTACTCTTTCGTGGTGACTAAGAATATATTCTCAGGCACTATCTGTATCCTTTGTTATGCCTGCCTAATCTAGGACCCTTGAGTCTTGTAATTGTCTTGTAGTTTAGCATTAAAATAAAAACCCTCGAGGGGGTAGCATATCAATCTTAAGGAAAGGGTAATCTAACATCAGAGCATTCCTATTGACCAAGCTTTTTGATCCACTTGTGCTTGAGTGAGTGTTCACCACCTTTTCTCTTTAGGAGCTCTCTTTGGTGTACACGTTTTTTTCATTATGTGCACTTTTTGTAGTGACTTGTGACCTGCTTTTATTTCCTATCTCATCAGTAGTGACCTAATTATGCACACCAAAACCTTGATCTTGTGTTCTGATTGAAAGAAGCAAACGACCAAGCCATAGTTGACATGTGATGCTCTAAAGCTTGACAGTTGAATCCTATGTTAGAGGCTTACAGTTCCATTCTCCATGCCCTAGCATGGCGGTGGGGAATAATTTTATTGCCCAGTATCCAAATGACAAAGGATACTGGTTTTCCTCATGTTGGTGCAATAGCGCTATATGATCCATGGTTATCTTAATCAAATGATACGATGTGTTGTTTCGTAAAAGAATAGCTGCTGCAATGCCTGCATTGATTGAGGTAATCCGTCTTGGGTTGTGGATTTCTGCATCATGGTGAAAGGAAGTAAAGGAGGTGGCTCATGCATTCAAAAAGATGTTCATCCATTCTTTACCTCTGAACCCTGGTAAGCTTAATAGTGAGTGGGGAAACGAATGAAGCGTGGCAGAGGTGAGGGCCGAGACTTTAGCAGTATGTATGAGTATATTTGAGATAAGGGCTGGAGAATGAAGAATAAGAATAGATGGCCGCCCAAAGCAGCATCGTGTTCTGAGAGATGGAGACAGCCTCTCAGTATCGTGTAGTAGTGTAGAAGAAAGTGATTCCTTGTTGTGTGGCGTTTGCACTGCACTGCAAGCCTTTTGCCGTGTGGCTGACTACTTTTTGGCGTATTATTCTTTGGGATTTACATAAAAGGGGCAACCTTTTTCCTGGGAATCTACTGCTGCTTCACAAAACCAACCTTGGTCCAATTTCTGTGTGTTGCACCCGTCTGTCCCAGTCTGGAATTCAGACCTGAAAGAGGTTCTCTCTTTTATGAGGCGATTCTTTTGAGTAATCGTAACGAAATTGAGTTGTTACTTTGGTTAGATGCTACTCCTTTGCATCACTCTTTCTTGGTTCCGGTGTGGGATTCTTGAGTTGATCATTTTAACCAAGGGGAAAGGAACCAAAGAACAACCCTTTTGGTTATTTGACTGAGAGGAAGCCTCCATTTTCTCTGTGGAATTTGAACCAACCAACAAGTTCATAAATCACTTGGTTTTGTCCAATGAAGTCAAAATCCCGATTATACATAAAAGATGTTTTTTGACTTAGAAGCGTAAAAATGTAAGATTTTAAATTTTAATGTGTAGATTTTGACTATACTTGTAAGTGAAAAACGTGTTTCTACATAAAAACGTTTTAGTGACCTAAAAATGAAAAAGCGTTAACTTTTAAGTTTTAAAGTGTGATTTTGACAGTATTGGTTTTGTTGAAATGCGCTTTTAGTATTTCTTTTAAACAACTGGGTTTGAGGGTTTTAGTCGTGTGATTTGGTGCATTGCCATAATCCTCTTATAAGATAACTGAGTTTTTTTGTTTTGTTTTTGGAGTGAGGTAATAATATGAGAAAATGTTATGTTTGAGAATAAAGGTATTATCCTATTCGATTATTCAAAGCCAAGTGGAAATGTTGTAGGTAAGTAATTGTTGTTGACCTAATAATAAGGAGAATGAAGTACATTTTATTCGGCCGAAGTTTGGGACAGACAATTATGAATGAAATACTTTACACTAAAAACAGTTAAGTCTTGGCTAGTGCGACAAAAGCAATAAGAGTATCTATTAGGTAACCTTAAATTTTGATAAACCTAATAATCACTTAAAAGAATAATACGCTTGTCTTTTAGGGTTCTAAAAATTATGATTAACCAAATAATCATTCAAAAGGAATAAATTATCTCTCTTTTAGGGTTATTGGGTTCATGATTAACCAAATAATCACCCAAAAATAGTAGAAGTATCGATTAAGGTTACGAAAATCAGTAATAGTTAATAATTACTCGATAGAAAATAGAAGCATCTTTTAGGGTTACCAGAATCATGATTTACCTAATAATCACCCAAAAGCAATAAAAGTATTTCCGAAGGCTACTTAAATTATGTTAACCTAATAATCATCCAAAATCAATAAACGCATCTCTTAGGGTTGCCGAAATCGTGATTAATCTAATAACTAACCTACTACATAAGACTTAATGAATTTCATATAATGTTTTAGAGTGAGTGTCTATGTCATGTTCGATCTATTAAGTAACCGATTTTATCATATCTTTCAAGAAAAATAATAACACGAATCATCATAAATAAAATAAGCTAGATTTTTGCCGCACTAGATTCTGAGATACAATAATGCATTATGCTACTTCTTCACGAACAAATCATAGTAGGATCTTCTTCAGAAAATGAAAGGAGTTTTTTCCAGAAATAGCACCTTTAAAAAAAAAAATTACAAAACTAGCACCCGCCCAAAAATATTTACAAAACTAGCACCCTTTTTTATTGATCGCACCCTCCAGGTGCGGTTTACACATAAAACGCATCCCCCAGGTGCGTTTTAAATGTAAACCGCATCTGGAGGGTGCGGTCAATAATGGTGGGCCTAAACCGCATCTGGGCCATGCGGTTTCATGTCTGGCCTACATGAAACGCATGGCCGAGGTGCGGTTTAGGCCTGACCTACCTAAACCGCACCTTAGAGATGCGGTTTCTGCGTCCAAGAACAAACCGCATCTCTAAGATGCGGTTTTGACATGTAGACCGCACCCCCCAAGTGCGGTTTACATGTCAATAATTTTCCGACACCCGACACACCATGCAGAGGATTATGGACGTAGGGCTGCATGCAGACTAAAACCGCACCCTAGAGGTGCGGTTTTCACAATTTTTTCCCTATATAAGACTTGCCGGAAAACCTCAACTCTTCACACCTCTCATTCTCTCTTTCATTTTTCTGTTGTATATCTATATTTATTTAGTGTGTTTGCCATTAAGATTAACTCGTAAGTTTATTTTGTGTTACTTTTTATGCCATTAACATTAACTCGTAACTTTATTTTGTGTTACTTTTTATGCCATTAACATTAACTCGTAACTTTATTTTGTGTTACTTTTTATGCCATTAACATTAACTCGTAACTTTAATTTGTGTTACTTTTTATGCCATTAACATTAACTCGTAACTTTAATTTGTGTTACTTTTTATTGCATTAACATTAACTCGTAAGTTTATTTTGTGTTACTTTTTATTGTTATTTGTGATCTGTGATTTTTATGATATTAACTAAAACTATGGTTTGTTTGTGTGCAGATGGCATTCCGTCAGTTGTTGCTTGGCTTACGGTGGAATGGTTACACGGAAGACACCGGAAAGGGGGCCACCTACGTCGGTGGCAATTTTCAGAAAATAACGGTCGGTACCAGACCGAAGCTTGAAGACCTCCATCGAATATGCACTGACGTTACTTGCATGGATGGCACGAGGAGGGTAGATCGTATGGTGTACCGATACCCAAACAGAGCAACTGGGTCATTGTGGCATGAGGAATATACCATAACCACTCAAGATGACGTAGATTCCATGCTCGAATTCTTGAGGTCCAACAAGTTGGCCAAAGCCGAGATGTTCGTTTACACCGAGCCAGCCGTTAGTGTTGGAGGTCATTCTGGACACGGTCAAACATCTGGTATCCATGGTGGTGGTGAATTATATGACGATCATCCCTACCAAAGTTACCATGATCCTCATTCCTATTTTCAGTACCAAGATGGAGGGCAAGGTGCAGGCCATCATCAATCTTTCTCGTCATATGAAGAAGAAGTTCAACCGGACATCCCCAACCAAGCCCAGTACAACTTCCTGACAGGCAGCGGTAGTTTTCACAACTACCATTATGGAGCTGATGAAGGTGCCTTTCATGAGCAGGATCAGACGGAGGCTGCCACACCAGGACCAGTCAGCGACCCCTCTGATGAAGAAGGAGAGAACAACGTCAGTGCAGACAGCTCAGACCCTCTTGAAGGTGCTGATGATTCAGCACCAGATTCAGATTCAGATAATGATCATGATGTGGCTCCTGACCGTGTACCAGTCCCCTACTACAATCACATTCCAGACGACAATTGGATGGTCGACAGCGACATGGAGCCGCCAGAGGTCCCAATATGGGGCCCACTCACTGGGTTTACGAAGGGCCAACAATTTGGCTCGAAGAAGGATGTGCGGCACGCCCTTGAGACTGAAGCAATGACTCGGCATTTTGAATGGGACACAACTCATTCCAACACCAAAAGGCTCATAGTCAGATGCCGTAATCATCACGAGGGGTGCAATGTTAGGATTCGTGCCATCAACAGCAAGAGACACGGCCACTGGGTCATATCCCGTGCGGTCAACACACACACATGTGTGTCATCCATAACTTCCCAAGGCCATCGACAGTTGAAATCCAGGGTGGTTGCTGCGGCTATCAAGCATCTGATTGAGGCTGAACCGGATCTGAAGGTGAAAGTCATAATCGCTGACATTGCAAGTCGTTTTGGTTATATGATTAACTATAAGAAGGCGTGGCATGGAAAGCAGAAAGCTATGGCCGCCGTCTATGGTGATTGGGAAGAATCATATGCATTCCTTCCCAGACTAATACTGGCATTGGAGGCGTCTAACCCTGGGACTGTGTTCTCCCCTCGATACCAAGATGAAGAGATACAACCCCCAGAGGCAGGTAACGAACGCCATTTTCGCAGACTGTTTTGGGCATTCAAGCCTTCTATTGATGGTTTTGGCTTTTGTATCCCTGTGATTACTGTGGATGGTACATTCCTTACCGGCAAGTACAAGGGCACTCTCCTGATTGCCAGTGGGGCGGATGGAAACAGACAAGTCTTTCCTTTAGCCTTCGCCATTGTTGAGGGAGAGAATGCTGATAGCTATGGATGGTTTTTCCGACAAATCCAAATCCACGTCACCAAGAGGACGAACCTGACAATAATCTCTGATCGGCACGCCGGCATCAGAGCAGCCATCTTAGGCCTGGATCCAGCCTGGAATTGGTCCCAAAGGTGGTGCATACGACACTTCAAAAGCAACTGGAACCATCATTTCAAACGGAAGAAGCTAGCTGATAATTTGTGGTGGATTGGTAACCTCTCTATTGCTCTCAATTAACAATATCTTGTAATATCTGGAGTGGTGCACTTGTTAGACTCTTTCTAAAGAGATGCATGCCTAAGGAAATGGGGTTTTAAGCGATTATGATGGTCCTCCCATTTCCTGGGAAAATCGGGTTTTAAGCGATCATCGGATCCCCCCTTTTTCTGTCAAACAGGCTGTGTTTCTAAGGAGATGTATACCTCTCCTAAGAGTCTAACGAGAGTCCGACCGACCAGTTTGAAATTGTACTAAATTGAGGATCATTTACTAACATACGACTTTTCTGTGTGTTATTCAGCGGTTGCATACCAGGAGAAAAAATTTCAGGAGAAGTTGCAAAAGTTGCGCGAGTTATGCCCTGAAGGGGCACAGTGGCTGGATGGACACGACCTATCCATGTGGACATTTCATAAAGATGGAGGCAAAAGATGGGGTATTGCCACAACCAACTCAAGTGAGAGTATCAACTCTGTCTACAAGGCCGTCCGTGCACTGCCAATCTCTGCCATTGTGGAGATGACATTTTGGAAAACGAATGCATGGTTCGTTAACCGTCTCCACTAGGCAAGCGGATGCCCAACTATACTCCCCCATCTCCTCCCAACTACTGAAGATGATCCTAAGCCATCCACAACTAAGGAGATTGCTTGATTTCTTGGAGAATAACACTCCTCCGATCATGCCTATGAGATAGACACGAGCATATCTCTCCTTCTCATCCTCCGGACTTTCCTCGGTTAGGGGGTGACTCTCGTAATGCTCTTTAAAATACTTCGTCAACCATGTAATTGAGACTTGGTGTTTCCTCATTGGTGGCATGCGATCGGTCGCATCAACGCAACCCTTCACCGGTACTTTCACTCCCAAATGACTGTGGATGAAATGCTGCCAACCTGGCATACCGTCACAATCCTCGGGGGGATGATCACTCACGCACACCGGTTTGCCGTCGATGGGCAGATGGGTTAGGATGGCGACATCCTTTAGCGTGATGGTGGCCTCTCCTTCTCTAAAGTTGAAACAATGGGTCTCCTTTCTCCATCTCTCGGCTAATGCGGTGATGAGTTGGCGATCGATTTGGATGCCGTTAAAATGCCTAATCGAGTCTAACCGTGCCCTTTTGAGAAATGGCAAGATAGCTGGGTGGAATGGGAGCACATTGGTGGTACCCCTATAGCGGATTATTGTTTGTGATTCCTAGCAAAAAATGTACACGTTTATTATTATTAGTAAGGGTTTTTTTTCGTATAACTAAATTAATTAAATTAAATTATGCGACATAAAACATACTTTTATTATCATAAAAAGACATTTCATATTATCATAAAACAAACGTCCTAAATTAATTAACATAATAACATTGTCAATGAATAATAATTTAAAGAGGTACATACATATTATCGTAAAACAAACATACTAAATTAATTAACATAAATAACATTGTTACTGAATAATAATTTAAGTAGAAACATACATATTCAAATGTTTGGTAAATAATTTAATCGTATTAGTTGTTTTAAATAATTTAATCGAATACAAAGCAACACTCGTTAGACTCTTAGAAGAGGTATACATCTTCTTAGAAACGCAGTCTTTTTGACAGAAAAAGGGGGGATCCGAGGATCTCTTAATACCCGATTTTCCCAGGTAATGGGAGGATATGATAATCGCTTAAAACCCCATTTCCTTAGACGTGCATCTCTTTATAAAGAGTCGAAGTAAGTGGCGCTATGTATTCGATTAAATTATTGAAAACAACCAACACGATTACAAAATAAACATAAATTAATTTTATATTACACTAGGCACATTAACAAAATAAAAGAAGGACAAATGGTGAAGAATTGTATGTACCGGGTGATCGTTCCAAACATCCCTTGACCGATGGTTGGTTTGGTCGTACAAGTCGGTTGGATCCACCGGTCCTTGCTCGAGATAATACCGTTGGTTGTATATATCGACGTCCTCCCCAACCTACGAGAAAATAACAACGAGGTTAGTAAAAAACTTATAACAACAACAAAGATTAAACCAAAATAATGAGTACATACCGCTTGAAATTCATCAACAAAAACTCCTTCTCCTTGCCACCAATCGGCCATTATTTCGGCGTAATTCGGACAGAGCTTCGGCTCGACTCGGAGGGTTTTGAGGAAAAACCTAAGAAATGTTTACTGATGGCAGATCGGACTTAGCCGCAACCAACAGACCACTATTTCCTAGGCTTTTGGGAGGGGAGGGTTTAGTTAGAGAGATAAATTGTAGAGAGAGGAGGAAGAATGGGTTGTGGTGTGAAGAAATGAGAGGGGGAGGGGGGGTATTTATACCCATCAGACCGCACCCCCCAGGGGCGGGCTGGTAATTTTGGCCTGAGCAAAACCGCACCCTCCCGAGGCGTTTTGCTTTTACCTAGGGCTGACCGCATCTCGGCCAAGCGGTCTGCAGTCTTTGGCGCGGATCGCTCCCCTGGCAAGCGTTCAGCCGCCCGATCGCGCCTCCATCCAACGGCTTGAAAACCGTTCCGCAGCTGGCGCGGATCGCATTGCTGGCATGCGTTTCGTAACGGAGACCGCGCCTCCAAGATGCGGTTTATATGTAAACCGCATCCTTCAAGTGCGGTTTACTTATAAAACGCATCTTGGAGGTGTGTTCCATAAATATAGGTGCTATTTGTGTCAATTTTTTCATATGTGTGCTAGTTTTGTAATTTTTTTTTTTTAGGGTGCTATTATTGGAAAAAACTCTGAAATACTTTACACTAAAAACAGTTAAGTCTTGGCTAGTGCGACAAAAGCAATAAGAGTATCTATTAGGTAACCTTAAATTTTGATAAACCTAATAATCACTTAAAAGAATAATACGCTTGTCTTTTAGGGTTCTAAAAATTATGATTAACCAAATAATCATTCAAAAGGAATAAATTATCTCTCTTTTAGGGTTATTGGGTTCATGATTAACCAAATAATCACCCAAAAATAGTAGAAGTATCGATTAAGGTTACGAAAATCAGTAATAGTTAATAATTACTCGATAGAAAATAGAAGCATCTTTTAGGGTTACCAGAATCATGATTTACCTAATAATCACCCAAAAGCAATAAAAGTATTTCCGAAGGCTACTTAAATTATGTTAACCTAATAATCATCCAAAATCAATAAACGCATCTCTTAGGGTTGCCGAAATCGTGATTAATCTAATAACTAACCTACTACATAAGACTTAATGAATTTCATATAATGTTTTAGAGTGAGTGTCTATGTCATGTTCCGATCTATTAAGTAACCGATTTTATCATATCTTTCAAGAAAAATAATAACACGAATCATCATAAATAAAATAAGCTAGATTTTTGCCGCACTAGATTCTAGGGGTGGGCAACCGGTTCGGTAAACCCGAACCGAACCGAAACCGAATTAAATCGAACCGAAACCGAAATAATGCTATTCGGTTCGGAATTCGGAAGGGAAATATGGATATTTCGGAAACCAAGGTTCTTTCAACCGAACCGAATTTCCGACCGAAAAACCGAAATACTATAATTGTAAGCTTCAAATGGTGGATTTTTATGTTTGTAGTTGTTTTTAGACTTAAATATTTGAAATATTTTATGACTTATGTGTTGAAAAGTTTGATTTTTCATTGATGATGCATATAATTACATATTTATTGTTTATATTAGGAATGAAAAATAATTTAAAAATGAGAAAATACAAGTAGCCTTACAAATTCGGTTTTCTGTGAAAAACCGAACCGAACCGAATTATAATTCGGTTTAAACCGACCGAACCGAATTATAATTCGGTTCGAATTCGGTTTGAGGTTTGGGAGAATTCGGGGACCCGGTATTCATAATTTCGGTTCGATCGAAATCGAACCGACCGAATGCCCACCCCTACTAGATTCTGAGATACAATAATGCATTATGCTACTTCTTCACGAACAAATCATAGTAGGATCTTCTTCAGAAAATGAAAGGAGATCACAGAGTGAGTTTGGCAACGAATGAAAGTTCTGTCCACGGAAGAAGCACAATGGTTCACACCACAAAGGAACTTGCTCTACAAATAAACTGAAACTCCAATGACCAAGAATCCTTAAGTTGGTCAAAGTTGATGCTCTATATCCTGTAGTCTCTGGGACAGTGGGACTCACACTGGTCCCTTTTCCAACTCTTACAAGACTTTGCCATGTAAATTCACTATGCACTCTATCCAAATTACTCTCTAGCAAAAACACTCGTCCCTTTGTCAGAAATAGCCAGAAAGTCATAGCTCCAGCAGATTGTCCGGTGAATGCTCAAACCCAGAAAAAGAAGAAGAAAAAAAAAACTCAAAATATGAAAACCTTGATGAACCTGTGATACACTAACACAAGCATATCACCTTCACGATGGCCCGCCAACGCTTGGTTTCTTCTCCACTTCCAAGCCAAAATGTTCCCTGAGAATGCGTTTGGAGGTCCTCCCAAAACCATTAGCCACTCTTTTCATACGCTCGAGTTTCCTCCTCTCCCAATTTATCTGATCTATCCTGCTAGTCACTGTGCTCCTTAGTTCACCAGCACCTGTTGCCTCTAACTCCAGGCATGCTAGTTCAGAATGCTCTTTCTGAAGTTGTTGATAGAGGTTTTGCAGATTTCTCTTCTTAGCATGGAGTTGTTCCTCTGCGAGCTTCAACTCTAGCTTCTGTGACTTTCGCATTGCACGAAGTACATCGTCGATTTCGGCATCAAGTTGGAGAATTTCAGCGCTGTAATCAGGAGATTCGGCCTTCAAATCAAGAAAGGTTGGCTTTTTGTCCATGTCTGTCAAAAGAGCAAAGTAAAGAGACATGCTATAAGACTTTCAGGCAGTAATTTGAAGATAGAGCATCAGTCTGAGAGAGGGTAAGTCAGAAGAACCATGTTAAATGGATCAAAAGAGAATTTACCGGATGCATCCTCGTCATCTTTACATACATCTTCAAGGGTAGTTCCATGCCTAAGCTGGAGATGTCAATATGAAATTGTTAAAACATATGAAAAAGTAGAGTGAGAAAGCTATTATACTTTTATTACTGCCAAAATTAGCTGAACTCGCTTTATAGGGCAACTGCATCCTGTTGTTCTTGCATTGCACAAGCCATGTTGGCTGGCAGCTACATGGCAGCTGCACTTACAATTCAAATTGTATGGATGTGGATGCAATGCAATTCTAATTACGAAGCCAGCTAATTTAGCAATTGGACTTGCAATGCCACCTCGGATTCTATTGTATTCGCTTCCAATTATGAACATAATATTCTAAGATGTTGCATGTCGCTAGTTGAAATTGTGATGAATTATAGGGATTTATATGATCTGAAAAATTGCCGAATTGAGTGGTTGTAAGATTGTTTTATGTGACATTTGAAATGACAAATTAATTGCAAGGATGGGGATAATCTTACCTTTGCGGCAGCCAATTCAATGCGCTTCAGCAAATCCTTGGCTTTATTTCTCCGAGACCCACGCAAGATGCAGATGCCAACATTTAATATTTTCTCTACCTCGTCTCGAGAATCTATGAACTTGCAAGTTTGCAAGAGCTTCACAGCATGTGGAACCATATCAGTTTTTGCATCACAACGACGGCATAGGTACTCAGCATCAAGGCCAATACTTCCACCAACAGTTCCTGCCATGTAAGTTCTCAGAGCACACTCAATGTGGGCTAAATGACTACATATACAGCCTGGAGTCACCACAGATTGGCACTTGATGTAATTGTAAGCACCATGTGATGAAGTAATGATTTTGGAACAAAGAATACAACAACAATCACGGCAGAAACCAGACTCAGTACAGCAAATATCACAAGGCACTGAAGGTACAGGAGGACTACTGCCTATTGCTCCTTCAAGACTACTGCAACCCTTATTTCCTGCCTTACAGCCTCCACCTGATTGGGGATTAAAGGTTAAAGTAGCTGAAGGGGGCACAGGAAAGGCACTGCTATCAATGTCTCCTGTAATAGTTAGAGAAGGATTCCCATTCGCAAGTCCTGCAAACAGAATAAGATAATAAACAAGAAAATCAAACCAAATATCCCGCCACAAGCTGCCTAGTTAAGGCTTGATTACCTTATATTACAGCATAAGGTAGAAATATTTTTCTGATTTCAGAAGCTCATTAACCACGAATGCTACTTTCTTAAATGGGCTACCATGCTACGGCGCAACAAATGCAACATACCATTACAAAAAAAATTAACACAAGCACATTTGTACTGCCTGAATTACATTACAGTTGTTAACCTAACGTCATTAACATTCCTCTCATACATTCTCTTCCAAGACTTAAGCAGTAACTCAAACTCTTAACTTGATAGAACCCACTCATAACTCTATTTTGGGATGTGAATTTCTTGAATAGGATCATAATCCCTACAAGGAATGAAACACAAACAGGCACCAGACCATGAGAATAACGTATACAAGTTGTAGATCCGATGGGAATTTACCATAGAAGGTACACAGGATTTTCTTTGCAAGGCAGTATACTTCTCTTCTTTTTTTTTTTTTTTTTGGTAGGAGTATACTTCACTATTTGACTGCACTTGGAAGCCACTTGAAGTATCTCCTTGTTCTTTTACTTGAACTATCTCTTTTTTGGAAAAAGGTCGAGATAATTACCCTCAATAGGCCACATAAGGTGAAACCCTATCATGTTCAATATCATTTCAGGACTCGAAGATATACATTTATGCATGCATATGGCACCATTAACTCTAAGCACAGTTCCAAGCTAAAGACCAGGATTTCTGCCATTGCTAGTAGCACGGGGATATTACAATCGCGAGCAGAACAGAATAACATGGGACATCAATGAGGTCCAGGCAAGCAGAAATGATAAAAGCTGTACGGAGAGAGAACTTACTGTTCACGGCGGCCTGGCTAGAAGGGATCCTCCAGACAAAGGAATCAAAGAATGCCTCAACATTGGCATCAGGGAAATGCGTTTGAAGGAATCTCTGCACAGAAAGCTTGCTTGCGAAACCGTTCTTTACACGAGCAGGAGCGCCCACAAGATGGCAAAGGCTTTTGGGGAGGTAGAGGAATCTATCCAGATGATATCCAGAGTAGGTTAGTCGTTTCCCAACTTTCCAGCCCCACATGTCTCCAGGTTTAGGCCAATTCTCAGGAGCATAAGGTAGCCCTTCACCAGCCTCATCACATGGAACTGGTCTCAGAGGGAAGCGAGATCCTTTCGCTTTAGATGGGGTATTTCCATTGCCCTTCTCGTCAGTTTCCATTGGCTCCTTCCCCATGGAGATCAATCTAGCCGGCCTTTCAGTTCAGTATAAACAGACCACAAAGAAGCCCCAGTGGGTTAACATAAAGACGATGGATATCAAACCGAGTTTTCATATCAGCAATTTCGTTCCGAATTCAAGGGTTCAAGCATCTAAAACCAGATAACACAAAACAAAGAGAGATAATAAAAGAAGAGCAGTCGAAACGTTACCGGAATTCTTCTGTTCGAAGAGATTGAGGAGACAAATTAGGGTTCCGAAAAAATCACGAAATGGAATCCAGTCGCCAGAGGAGAGTGAGAAATGATAAGGATCCCAGTGAGTTTCGCAGCAGAGCAGGTTACGTTCGCAAGGGAAATGCCGGAACAATTTGACGGCCTGAAAGCGGCGATTGAAGCATAATATACTCAATTTGAATTGCCGTAAATGGCAAGTTAATGAATTGGGAATTTGGAACCCTAAATGCGCTGAGTGTCAGTCAGTTCAGTCAGTACACCCAGGCCAGCAAGCAGCCGGACGCCACGCTCTAACTTGCAACGGCTGACGGTAATGAGCGAGTTTGCGTAAACCATCCTCATTTCCACTTTTAAATACTAGTGTGGGCCCCGGCCAGTTGGTCGGAGAAAGGTGAGGTATGAAATTTGATAATATAATAGGGTGTATAGCTTATTGTTGTATAGTTTTTTTTTTAGAAATTCATGATAAAAATAGTGAATTTTAGCAGGAAAGAGACATGAATGATGCAATGAATCAAAAATCGGCTTTATGAACCAAAATCAAGTACATGTTACCTTGTGAAACAATATTGTTTCTGGTAATATGATGAGGTGGAGTAAGTTTTATAGAAACCGAATTCCAGAAAATCGAATAAAAAATCGCCTATCCCGTCGGTTTTCGGGAAATGAGCATCTCACAATCGTTGCTAGCTTTTACTCGGCCCGTTGGTCGATTAATTTGCTTTATAAAACTTTCATCTTGTCGTCATTGTACTTTCTGATTTTTGTTAAGCCATGATAAAATCTAAGGAAATCAAGAACGAATAACACAATTTGGGATAGGAACCGTCGTTGTCGTATCCTAGAAAATGGTGGTAAACACAGACTCACCTGCCAAACTGGTTTGGATTGAGATTTTTATCGGGTATCAGGGAACCATGTGATTATAAATTAGACTTGATCAAAACGGGCCAAAACTTGAAATTCAGCATGTTTGACCGACCCATGCCAAATTCTAATTATTCTTTACTTTTAAACTTCCTATTTGAAAATAAAAAATAGTGAAAGAAAAGAGATGACTGCAATTCGCCATTTGCACATCACTTATTCGAGAATAAAACCATAAAAATTCAAAAGGAACTGAAAATGTTTTTCAAAATTATATCCGTCTCATATCCATATGAGGGAGGGTTTTTCAAACCCATCCTCATATCCGTGGGTTTCGGGTACCCATAGGTAATACCCGCCCCGTACATCCAACATGATAACACCTAAAATTTTATATGTAAATTTTCAATTATTTATAACACTAAACGCACCTACTATATGATGAAGTCGGCAAAGAAACAATCATTCTTAACACGATTCAAAACATCTTATCCTAAAAACATCCGTTAATCCATAAGATAGTACACAATGTAATCCAAATAATTATTCTCTTACTCTAATACATCTATTAAATACTAACTAACTAACATAATCTTGTTAACAAGGGAAACAATGAAAGAGTGAAGGGAGAGTTGAGGAAAAAGAATTAGATTTTGATTTGGTGGCCACCCAATTACATTTCTAATTAATATTTTTTTTAGTTACCCTCACTATTTGGTATGGGTATGGGGCGGAGGAGGCTAAAACCATACCCGCCCCATACCCATCAAACGTTTTGCGGGTTTTACCCATACCCGTCCCATACCCGGTCAAAGCGGGAATTTCCCACGTTGACTGGGTCGGGGCGGGTGGGTAACCGCAGTTATGGGTTTGATTGTCATCCCTACGGTTGTGTCCTTTGACTCCAACACCACACAGAGGGCCGGTAAAGCTTTGGTGTGAAAGACGGGAGATGTTTTACTAAGTAATGTTATGATAAATAATCATCCATAATTTGTCATGTCATCTTCTATGGAAGGTTTTTAATATTTTTTTATAAATTTAACGGGTTATATCCCTTTTATTTTAATTCATACTTTAAAATTTTTTGTATAGATTAATTGTACTCTTCAAAATTATATACACTTTCATAATTATGTACTCTTCAAAATTATATAAGATTGTACCAAGTGATATATAAGTGTACTATGATAGTATGAACATACCATATTGTTTAATAATTAAATACATGATAATATGATTATACGAACTGTCATTTACCACATTCATTATTATGTACCACTAGTTACCACCCCTATACCACGGTGGTATGAAGTGGTACATTTGTTTCTGTATTTTTTTCAGAAATTTGTAGATTCAATAAATCATGATGAATTCGTTCAATCTATGCAAAAGAAATTAAAATTCGAGTAAAAAACGAAGGTGGTAAACTGGTAATGAGTGGTATGAGTGTCATGAAATTTTTTCTCAGATATATTAAAAATGGATCTCATTTTGTAGATTACAACGAACTCGTTCCATATGTGCAAAAAAAATTGAAATTCAAGTTACAACGAAGAAGATTATACGTCATTAATAAAGCTAGGAATAATAAGAAGTCAATAATTCACACACTTTTTTTTTTTAGTGATGCCAAGAGAGAACAAGAGTTAATCATACAAAACTAACCAAGAATCCCCTACAATCAACACCCTAGTGAACCCACCCAACAAAGTCGAAGGACTCTAGCTTTAGACAAGGCAATATCAGTGCTTTACACGCCACTCTATGGGCAGCACTGTTGGCAGTTCTAGGAACCGCCCTAAACTCTATACAAAATGACAAAGTGTTTAGGATGTAACGACACTCCCGGAGCACTAGACCACCAAATGGAAACTTCTAGTACGCCTTGCCAGATCTGCTTGACAACCACCTTGGAATCACCTTCCACTATCACATGATTCAAGGATCTTGAGGCGACGATGGTGATAGCGTCTCTTCCTACTAGGAGCACTTCTAGATAGGGGTTGACCACTCTCTGATGACGCATGACGGCTGCCAACCACATGCCCGTCTGACCCACGAAAACAAGACCAGACGATCACCCAGCGTCTCGACCAACTGCATCAAAGTTGAACTTCAAAAAGTCTTTTGGCGAAGACTTCTAGCTAGGTGGTTGGAGGTGGAATCAAGAGGAAAGAGCGGGAGGCGAAAGGGTGGCGGGGAGGGAGATTGGAGACTTCAAGGACCTATTAGTAAAATTGGCTGGCGAGGGAACGTACATGATGTTGGCAGAAATAAAAAATCACTTTATTTTTAGACTTCCAGATCCTCCAAAGTAAGCAGATGCATTGGAGAATGTGGAATTGGGAGATCTCAAAGATCATGATGACATTGTCGCCACCATATACTAAAATTGACAGTCGGGGCGGAATCATTTAAGTAGCTCAATTCCACTAAGGTCCACAATTGGACCTGGGGCCATCTGAAAAATAAGTGTTCAATGCTCTCTCGATGTCTCCAACATATGGGGTGTTGGTTGAGGCAGTAACTCCACGGGGTTGTAGGACTACCATTGTCAGTATTACCATATCAAATTTTTTTTAGCTTAGGTGGGACTTTAATTGAAGGCTAAGATATTAATTTTAACAAAATGAATGCTCCCACTAATTGATGGATCTCAAATGAGTCAAATTTACTTAAGGAAAAAGCAATATTGAAGGTTTTAACTTTTAACCATGGCCTGAAATGACAGAGAGACTTAATTTTCAACTGGGTATAAAAGCTTGTGAAAGGGGTCTTCTAAAACGGAACTTGTAAATTCATCCCAATTTGAGCCGATGAAGGATTTGATGTTGAAAAAAAAGTCCACGGGTTAAATGAAATTAACTAGAATTATTTTGATGTCGTAGAATCAGCCCACCCAAAAGGAGCCCTCTAAACCTTCTACTGGGAAGTTAAAATTGCAGTTTAATACCAGCAATTAAATTCAAAATTCTCGTAATCAATAGAATTCGCCATTAATGTTATCAACAGGACACCCTTGCTGGAAGTTTGTCCGGGACAGCAAAAATGATCGATATTGATCGGAAGTTATCGAGAGCTACGACGTACGACTATTATGTCTCATATTTTCTCGAAGAAGCTCTAGTCGATGACAACCATCGTAATTCGGGTTCTAAAATTGCCAAACCCATCGCTGAAATTATAGCCTCTGGTGAATTAAATTGGGTCATATCAACATCTAGGGCTTAGGGGACAAGGGCCTAGGATACCGTCTTCGTATTTTACATTGATAGGTCGTCCTTGTTCATTGAGGTAGTCAGAGTTTAATAATTTGAATTTCAAATATCTCCATGATTCACGCCTGTAAATATGGCGATTTTAAAACCCCATAGCAGATGCCATTGAAGGCTCTGTTTTTAGGATCTTTAGCTTGCTCTGTTTCATCATTAATTTGACGACTTAATGGCTCAAATATGGCTATGGCTGCAAACGAGCCGAGTCGAGTTTTTTCTTAGCTTGAGCTCATCTCGTTTATAAATTTTTCAACTCGAGCTCGACTCGAACTCAAATTTTAATAATCCAGCTCGAGCTCGGCTCGATTAAAAATAATCCAGCTCGAGCTCGACTAGGTAGAGCTCGATAAATGCGCATTAACACAGTTTGTCAAGCTGAGTATAAGCTCGGCTCAAGATAAGCTCGATTTGAAATCATTCTTGCAGAAAGTTGTGTACACATAAGAATTTAAATGACAAAAAGAACATTAGAAACTATAAATACAACTAACTTCCATACACATCCGTATTAACAAGATAATGTTAATGTTTAGAAAAGTAATTAATCATTCCACAAGCTCTAAACAGCCCAGCTAGCGAGCTTAGCTCAACAAGCCACCAAGTCAAACTAGCTCACAAGCTTATCAAGCTGAGCATGGTCTAGCTCAAGCTTGGCTCGTTTACTAACAAGCTGGCTCGCGAGCCAGCTTATTAAATAACAAGTCGAGTGTCGAACGAGTTTTTTTCGATTCGAACGCCGAGTTGCTCGCGAGCAGCTTGGCTCCTTTACAACCCTAATTATGGCCTTTGCGGTCTTAAAACCCTATAGCAGATGCCATTGAAGGCTCTGTTTTTCAGAGCCTTAACTTGCTCCGTTTCGTCATTAATTTGATGACTTAATGGCTCAATTATGGCTTTTCCGGCGCTGGTCATTATTGTGTGTTTAACCCTGTAAATGCTATTAAAAATGAAGCTTTTTAACTCCATTGAATGTTGACTTAAATGCCCTGTGTAGGAATCGGTCGTCGTCGATGTTGGACGAACTCCGACGATCTTCCGATGAAAAGGTGCAAACTTTCTGGGATCTCAGCTTTCACTCGCCAGGCTACCGAGCCATACCACTTCTTGCTCTTCTTTCATGCTTATATCCACAGTACAATATTGGAATCGGTACTGCCCGAAAAAC